ATGTACTTCGAGTAGGCCTTTGGTAGGCCTGACTGCTGAGCGGCGCTGAGTAGCGAGCATCAATGTGACATGTCGCTTCATCATGCCGAAAAAATCAGGTGTAATGGATCTTGTGTATTGACTCAGCTTTACCTTAGAATACATATAAACGCTATAGCTGCTAAACCAATGGAATCAAAAGATGCCAGACAAACGTCGTCTGGACCTCTCGTCTACTGACTGGTTGGATTGCCCGCGGGACGCGGCCCGGTGCCGTCTCCGATCATCAACTAGCCTTTGCTTCCTGACCTCCTCAACAAGCCAGCAGTCTGCATTCAGCGATATCTCTTTTGCACCCCCATCAGCCTTTGTCACTGCTCGTACGCTACATTCCTCGCCAAAGGACTTCGTACACGACGACTACCGCTAACCATCGAACAGAAGGTGAGTCGTCCTGTTCTTTCGGCACCAACCTGATTTATGTAGCTTCAAAGAAATGAAGACGCCACCTGCACGCCTTTCGAATTCAATCGCTACGAGCTTGGAACCAGAAGGTCGTTTCGTAGGCAGTGGCTCGAACTGTCCTGACTGCGGGTTTACGTCGACGGAAAGGCCCGCCCTACCAGGTCTCGCTCCATCACGAATGGCCGAACTTTTCTCTTCCAATGACCCGCCTATTGATCCCATAGAGCTTGCGATACTTGAGGCTATCGTTCGTGACGGCGACAGCTACCTCTCCGTCTTACAGCAACGTATCTCCGCTACAAGAGAAACACTCGAAGCTCTCCTCAAGGAGCAGGCTCTGCATGTCAAACGCGTTGCGGACGCCAAGGCACTCTTAAATCCAGTTCGCGGGCTACCACAAGACGTGCTCATCGAAATATTCACGGCGTGTATCCCAAACCGCATCGAGATTGCCGTTTCTAACGAGTTCGACTGTCTCGATACCAAGAGCGCGCCATGGGTTTTGTCCCAGGTCTGTGCGAGCTGGAGATGTACGGCATTGGCAACGGCCAAATTATGGTCATGTATCGGGCTATCTATGGACAGGTATGCGAACCACACAAAATACGTCTTCCGCTTCGGTATTCTGTTGGCACGATCAGGGTCTCATCCCCTCATGGTCTCCATCTACGCTAGTGCCGATATTGCGCGCCACCCCCTTCTTGCAATGATTTTGCCTACGTCATCGCGATGGACCAGCCTAAGTGTCACCGCTCTATTGTGCTCCTTCGTCCTGTTCAATAACATCTCGCACTCTTTACCCCTCCTCGAGTTTTTAGGGATTCACGCCACTACCTTCGGGGCACCGCTCGAGAACTCCCGCGCTGTGTGGGGATTCCAACACGCACCAAGGCTCCAAAGGCTACTTGTTGAAGTTCTCGGAATAATGGTCACAGAGCCCTTTCTCTTCTCGCGTCAATTTATCTTACCAGAGGACTCGAGAGAACTGTCACGCTTGTTTGCCCTCACGACGCCCTTGGATGCGGCATACCTTCTACAGTGGCATGGGGCAAGAAATGTGGTGAATTCCCGTCTCTGGATCGTCGGTACTCCTGTCTCAGAGCAGGGATTTGTGGTTCCCATGATTAGACATGCTTGTCTTCGAGATCTCACCGTTACTGAAACGGCGTCCAGAGGCAGACCAGGTTCCAGTGCCAAGCTGATATCCCAACTCCAGTTGCCTGTCCTACGGAGTTTGACACTCAGTTACAAGAATCCGACCGCCATTATGCCAGCAATTCGCCAGGGTACCGTGCCTGCCTTGACCCATCTCCATCTCCTCGCTGCTGGGCTTGCCATAGACGGAAATGCGGTAATTGAAATGCTCAAGTGGACGCCAGGGTTGACGTACCTTAAGCTTGTATTCAACTTCAAGACGGCCGACATATTTATCGCTCTTAGGACAGTCAACGACGAGACTTTTGAGCTGATTCCCCGTTTGCACACCCTTTTCCTTACAGGCGCTCAGTTTGACTTCAAAGATCACGATTTCATAATCACTGAGATGGTCGTAGCTCGACGTGAGCTAGTAGAAGAAGCGTCCTTGAGGGTGGTTTGTCTGAATGAGGGCCTTGGTGATGGGGAGCGTTGGGACAGACTTCGTCATGATGGCCTAGAAAATTGTGTAGCCGTATAGCACAATGACGGTGCGCGAGATTCAAACGATTCACTTACTTATATACACGTTTGAACAGTGACGCAGTGGGTTAGGAAGAATTGGTGTCGATGAGAGGAGAGAACTCGATTAACATTTCAGTCTTTACCCGTATGATACACCGACGACCGTTGACTTGTAAGACCTCCCCGAAAATTGGCGCCGCCGCAAACCACACGAGTTGTGATCTGCAATGGCGGCGGCAAAAGGACCACACTAAGTCCTTCCTTTTCCATTCTAGCCATTCGTTCGTGGCAAGCACGAGTCAATGTAAACCCTCCGTCAGTGTCAAGCCACGGTTGGCCAATGTGGACGCTGACCGAACGCAAAGAGCCTTTCCTCCACCGATTTTCAATGCTATCCACGAAATTCGAACCAAGAAGTCCCATATCTAGCAAAAGAGAGGAACCTTTCGGTAAGTCTAACGAGAACCTGTGCAGGTTTGGAACTAAAGCTGGCTCCGCTTTTCCTAGGCTGCCAAGTTCGACAATCAAAGACTGGATCGTCTGCACGGAATCACCCTGCCACTCGCGTAAAGAGAGGGACAAGGTGATGATTTCAGGGCTAGCTCGCAAGATGAAGATGAGGCGCTCATCGACAGCGCAATAACTGATACTGAGAGATGTCAGGGAACATCCAGAATGGGTAACAAGGTCATACAACGATGCGACGCCATCATGAATATACAAATGGACACCAGGAGCCGGACCGTGTAGGTGCACATCTTTCAACCTCGGTAATATGACGCTGCGGAGAAAGGATCCGCTGCACACAGAGAGTTGCGTGATCGATGTATTGACGATGCGTGGATCAGCAATTGGGAAGAAGCCTGTAAGCCTAACGTCAAAGTCGCGGAGACCGGGCAAATTTCCAACGATATCGAGAAAGTGCTCGTGAAGCTCCTCACCTACTCCCACCTGTCGAAGGTCCGCGAATGATCTCAACTTTGGGCACATCCGAGGAATGATGGTGATCTTTGGCCTCTCGACGTCAAAGGAAGATGAGAGAGCCAGGGATTTAAGGAGAGGTGCGCCATCCAAAATGTCGGATACGATTCTGGAAGGAAGCCGCGACTTGAATGGCAATCCACCGATGAAGGCTTCATTGAAATCAAAATCGACGAGGGCATGTAACTGTCCACGAATAGGCGACAGCAGGTGGAAAAGACTAGCAGGGATGCTGAAGGAGACAATCTGCCAACGATGGCACTGATCGACCAGAATTCGTATGATCTCTTCAGTAACCGCTGCGTCCCTGTCCTTATACAGTACCAGCTCCGTAGGATCCTCCTCCTCCTCCTCCTCTTCCTCTGGGATATCCTTTCCGTCGGCCTCCTCAAGTTGGAAGAACAATGGCTCAGTTCCAGAGCGAGAAAGCGCCAAAGACAGCAGGGCTACGGGATCATTCATGTAATCCCAACGACTCCAATCCCATTCAAGCGAGAAATTCGTCCAGATCTTCGGGCAATTGCCTATCGCGACGGCCCTCCATTGGTGACATACCCGACTGATAACACATGGTCTCCAACTCGGATCGAAGACGTTCCAACTCGATTCGAAGGTATTCACGTCACCAAGCCAAGTGGCGTGGTTGAAAATCTCCATCAACATCTCCACCGGAAGGTGGGTGATAGGACCCGGAGTGTACTTTGTGAAGTTGACCGAGAGGATGTGTGGATTCCTTTGCCGTCGAGGATAGGGACTGGGAGCACATTCCATGTCAGTCAATTGAAGATCCCCGGACACACTTGTGGATTGGGCAGCCAAAACCTCGGCCATGGTGGGCACTCTGCCGGTGGAGTTCATGATACTATCAAAGGAAGCGAGGGGATCGAAAATTTTATCGGAATGTTGCTTCTGAACAAGCTCGTCCAGAGGATCAGCGGGGGTAGACATTGAGAAGGGCGACTGCATTTCAAGAATAGATGGTTGATGTTGGACGCCTAGCAGACAAAGCCACTAGAACTTCAATCGATGACAAAAAGGCGCCGGCATATTGCCCTTACCTTTTGGATCCCAGCTGAACGAGAGGATTGATGAAAGTATGAAGAAACTTTGGTGAGTCCCACTAGCGAATGATGGTTTTGAACAAGAATAGAAGAGAGGTTCATAAATGCGTGAGAAAGTACAAAGTAACATGGCGCAGTGGCACTCCACCTTGTTTCATAACTTGAAATTAATGGCCGCACGTTTTTACTTTGCACAATTATCACTGTTTGAAGCGGCAGGAAGCAGCCCGATTGAAGAGAACAATGACCCAAAGTTCGGCTATTGGGGCTGAGCGGCACAGTCAGAGTGGCAAGCTATGTCACTGTGCCGCTATGGCGGGAACAACACTTTACTATGAATGGTAAAGTCCACACCCAACCCGTCGCAGTCTAATTCAATTCTGTATACAGCCCCCTCGATATGTGGTCGGTACGGATAGTGACAGTTACTGGTAACGGAAGGCAAAGTCTTTCCCTTCGCCAATTACGTTTTCAACTTCCTAGAGTCGGACCAAAATTGAGCAAGGAGGACGCTGCCAATTCCAGCACATTCTGGTGCATTATCGCAGACTGGGGGAAAGGTCTTGGTGCGCCGTAGTTGGAAAATCAGTTTCCCGACTATTGTTACTTCGTTTGAAAGAAAAAAAGAGCCAAACTACGGGGCTAGTTTTAACTTTTCAGTCGACCGATGCTTCGAGGTCACAAGCCCTGGGAATGTTCAAGACTGTCGCGGTGCTAGTTGAGTGAAAGATGGCAGCTGCAAGGAGGCTTGGGCATGATTCTTGGACAAGATTATCAAGAACATGAGCGAGACAAGGGAGAGCTTGTGGTCTCATTCAAACCAAGGTATAGAAAATACGTACACTATGAAAGATCTCGGATATGGTGTAACGGCTAACATTGCCGCCTCTCATAGAACGAGTTGAAACTATCATAAACGCGGCAGCTCGGGGTTCGATTCCCCGTATCCGAAGCTTCTATTTTTTCCGAGTCCAGAGTCCAGACTTCACCACGCACCTAGTTAAGTTTTAAGTTTTAGCCCTGTTAGTATAGCTGACTTTAATTTCCTTAGTTGCATAGTACATATGTACATTGTTGCAGTTTACTCTCGTTCATCTATGTAGCGCTAGCAAGGTCAAATTCAAAGATCTCTAAAGTCGGTGGCCGGTCAGGCGCAGGCTTCAGGTTCTTCACTTCAACTAGCCTGCCAATCCAAAAATAGGATTCAAGACTTCAAGCTTCAAGTCGTCACTGGCCGTATCCGACACTCTTGGAGTCACCAGTGTTAACTAAATACATAAAGCCTTCTTGATAGATATGGACAGGAGCCTCACGCTCTTCTGCACGCAATTTTCTACTTCTTGGAAGGCGTCAAACGTACAAGAAAGGACAGGACCACTAAGAACATATACAATCAGTTTTGGTCCCATACATCTAGAAAATACGTGTCTTCACCTTCATGGACGACTGTGTCTTGAGGGCTAGAGCTACCAAACATGATAGCATACATACGTTTATAATGAGCTCGGTTCTTCGAGAAAGAAGTATCTACCCTGAGGTATCGGATAAACAAGGAAGCCGACCGAGAGCGGTGAATGAAGACCTAGATGCGCATATGATCAGACGTATAGATCAAACGCGTACCATTGCGAACACAGGAGCGAGATACCAACAGAGATAGCATTTCAGAAGTAATAGTACGTACACTTATCATCAAACAAAGATCCTGCTCTTTTCGGAGCTGAACTTGAGCTTGCGAGGGCGGAATGTTCTCCAAGTCAAGGGTATCGCACCTCGGCTAACAGTCCCAACGGGACTGGAAAGACTCGGGACCGTGGTCGTGCTGGCCAGGAAGAGCGTCGTTCTCAAAGTGTTCAGCATCGTGCCGGTCATCACCGGCTTTCTGCAATGCGCATTCTTCTCTGTATCCTCGTAGTGCTTTCCGGAGTCGACTACTTCAGTTTCCCAATGAAACACACTGCCTTGGCCCTTGGGAAGAATTGAATTTGCAGGTGGAATAGCTAGTAAAAGCAGAGAGCTTATTGCAGCCGGGCGTTGGGTACCAGTCCAGCAATGTTGGATAAAGTTAAGCCCGACCAGGAGTATTCTGTTGCGCTAGTCGATGGTAAAGGATGATGAGGTATCCGGCGTCGTGCGAAACCAAGATGCACGGCCACACTTCAAGTTGTCACAATCCACGCTTGTTATCGGACATGTGATTTGTGACACTGGCGTCAAATGATGACAAATAGGCGCGCGCATAATTTTGTCCATGAGGAAGAAGCGGTACACCGGCTACTTACGAGCTGTCTAGGAGATCATGGCGATTCCCCTGTCCTGTTCGGCGTCAATCGAACAGAAATACGCATCCACAGTCCGAGGCTTGGGCAGTAAGGAACGTTTTGAGCCAGAAGCACAAATACTATGACTATCATTAACAAAATTCGCAACGAATAAACACCAAACGAAACTCAACAACAGAAGAAAGGGTATAAGGGATATCACAATTGAAATATAAAGTAAAATGGGACGATAGCCCAGAACACTGACGATCTAAAGTGTATCAGCGGCATAGGTACGAGTGAAGTGACTTGAACGATCTAGAACTCTCCCGCGCTAGGACCCATCCTTAGGAGGCGTATTCCACCGCCGCCTCCATCCATCGCCTCGTAACCCTGTAACCCTCGATGTAAATCTCCTCGAACGTGGGATCTTCCAACAACGCCAGCTCCAAGGCTTGCAGGTCCTTGGCGCGGAGTGCCGTGCTATAGCGCTCAACGTCAGCTTCACCCTAGTTGTCATTGAATCGCCGGCAGCTTACCTGGGAGCGAGATAGAGAATGGCCTCAGGGTCGTTCCACTGGTTCCTCCACACTTTGTACACCGGGAGCGAGATATCCAGCATTGCAGCAGTAACCTTGTCCCGAAGGGAGTCGTGCCAACTCTTCGGTGCTCCTGCCTTGAACTTGGCGGCGTCCTTCTCGTGCTTACGCATGAAGTGCTCGTCGAAATAGTAGGTTCCGTTGGCACTGAACGTTGATGAGCAAACCGGGTGGACCCCTAGAAATGTGGTACGTACGACACAAATTTTCCTCCACCAATCAAGAAGGCAGCCATCTCCGCGGCATGGAGGACCTGCTCAGGTGGGACATCGGTCGCATCAGCGGGAAGCGACCGCTTCCTAGAGTTTGGACAGATTGGCCCGCTCGAGGGGGCCGTGCGCTTGTTGAAGTACTCTGGGTATTTGGCGCGGATACGTAAGTCGCGAGCATTGACTTGGTGGTAAGACGCTGGAATTGGAGCCGGGGCGGGGGCGGGTGCTGGCTCAGCGAAAGCGAAGGCGACGAGGGTGGGCAACACTAGGAGAGAGAGGGAGAAACGCATCTTCACTGGTGGGACAGAGCGTGGACAAGGAATATTTAAAGGCGATCGACATGATAGGGGAGGTTCATGGCGTAAAGGAGGAGCGCCCGATTTCAATATCCGGCTGCCAAGTGAAAACCATGCACGTCGAGTATGTTAATCTCGCTTGGGCGCAGACAAGGGCCATTTGCGAACTAGGAGAATAGCTGAAGTAAAACAACAACATAAGAGAACCAACAGCTAACCTCGTAGCTTCGTCGAACGAGTATGTTAGGCTCGCCGGCTTCGGCTCAGATGATCGTGATTCTTTGACAAGCGGAAAACAGTTTATGACTGAAAAAATTGGCGATTAGCCGTCAATCATTGTGAAACATGAAGTTTGCACCTTGCATCTGGACAAGTTACTTGACGGCGCTCCATTGAGACCCTGAGAGACGAATATAAGCGGGCATGAACGCACGTCTGAAGAGGAAAATATAGCCAGAGGCAAACACGTACAAGACGCGATTTTACCGTCATTCATGCAAGCATAACCGTTCAAGCTAAAATGATACTATCCTTAATGAAGGCACACCATGAAGGGGACGAGCCTATCTAATCGGCGGGTTGTTTTGAGTATTAGGAGGATGCTGTGTCATTCTCCTGTCGTCTTGATCAAGACCCCAGTTTGGGAAGAGAACCAAGGAGGAGCTGCGGAAGGATGGGCGTTCCATAAATGTTGCTTAGAAAGCGCTGCGCCTGCGATTGACGTGTAAGCAATCAGCGATACTGCCTGGTAGGTTCAGTTACATCCGGCCTTTTCTCAAATCAGTTTCGATACTAAAAGGCTGGGAGGCGGGATCGGCCTACGGGCGTACAATGCTCTTCTACCACTAAATTTAGGAATAGCCTAAGCCAAAAACCTGACAAAAGCAGAAAGCTACGTACAGACAACAGAAACTCTTTAATCCACAGTTGCCTGGGCGCATATGTTGTACGCATGTTAGCACCTGCAGCCATACACAGGCCCATATCAGTATCACGTATACACGACGTCTCATTGTAAAAATGCGACACATACAGAGTACCGTACGGAGCGAACTACGCTTTTGGTCAGGAACGGAATTAAAGAGTCTAGAGTCCGGAGTTCGAACTTCCGGTGGCACAATCAGCATGATGATGATCGAACATAAATAGAGACCAAGAGAGTATACCCACCAATCTCCCTTGGCCAGAGAATTCGCCGTACTCCTGATGAAAATCATCACGCAAACCAGGTGGATAAGCCCCACAGAACATGTCCTATATACTCCGCGGACGATGAGCTGGATGGATAGATAAGTTAAGAAAAGAAAGGTACGTGCGTAAAAATTGCCGTACCTTTGACGATAACAATCAAGCGAACACTGCAGATCGAGATAATGCCCGCAAACCCGGAGCAGATGAACTTATGACAGGGAGTAAGCACATGATCGTGTCTTCCATCCAAGACAAAACATACGTAGTATTATATGTCAGGAAGACTGGATAAAGTTTACTTCTTTTGTTTTCGACCATATAGAACGTGGCTCCATCGCATAGTCGTTACACCCGAACCAGAAACTGGACGTCATCCTTCCAGCTGATGAAAGCTGTTGATGTATGCGCTGTATATGCGCCTGAAGTCCCTGATATGACGGATGCTCTTGTCTTCTAACTTGGCAACACCAGATCTCGGAGGAGAAATAGGCCGAGCTCTCTACGACTGGCTGGCTCGGCTACTGATCAAGTTCAAATTTGGACCATAATTGAGAAATTGTCAAGCGCTGCGCTTGCCAAAAGATGTTAGCGACAACCTCTGAACGCTATAACAGACGTAAACGCACCACGGCCTTCCTTCTTCGATTATTCAGACTACGGCCACAAGAGCCGTGTAACGCCGTTCCCAAAGGTAACCATCGGCAAATCTCTGCTCAAATCAAAGGTGCAAGAAGCTCTTGTCGGCGAATGACCTATCGTTGTTGTCGAAGAATTCATGAAAAAGGTGCGAAGAGACACAGCTTTAAAATCCATTCAATACGGACACTAATTCCTTAGCATCGTCTCCATTGGATTGCTGCTGTTGAGACGCTCGATGATGGAACTGTTTCTTCGGCCGACAAGGCGAGCAGTCCATTTAGCCCTGAAAACCGACTGAAATGAGCAGCACTCAGATACGGGCACAAAATACCCTCGCATTACTGGGCGCGTCCAAGCATAGGCTACGCACAAGCAGAGCTCAGCGGACATGATGGAAGTATGCAAAGAAGCGGGAGCCTGGACTTGCTTGCTTGCCGTTGTTTGGTATCAACTTCATAGGCGCGGTTTCTTCTCCGATTCAACTGTCAGTGTTACTCTCATACGGATCGTCGAGTCAGGTTTACGAGACTATCAGTTATCATTGTCTCGAGTGACTGTGCCTCCGCAGGATTCGATATAAATCTCTCTGTAAGTAAGGAAAACATCGAGAGCCGGTCGGACGTCAATAACTGACTATTCAACGCAATAGCGTGGCCTTCACACTTGCTCGTCCGGGTATGTCCAGAGTCTTTATGACGAGCAATATATTTTACGATACATCGCAGATATGACAGCGGCTGCCGAACATCTTCTGCCTACTTTCGAGTGTGCTACTTGCGACCATATATTCTTGCGTCCAGAAACCGCGCAGAAGCCGGTATCTGCCCGGGTCAAAGAGCTCTTAAAATCAAATGTTCCTCCGTTGCACGAGGAGCGCTTGGAACTGGCCGGAATTGCCGCTCAATCTTCTCGTGCAGTAGCGGACCTTGAGCAGAGGATTGTCCAAGCACAACAGATGCTCGATGCTCTTGTTCGAGAACGTGACATTGCGGCCGAGCATTTGAAGAATGCCAAAACGCTGTTACACCCCATTCGTACTTTATCCGATGATATCCTACGCGAAATATTCGTCCATTGTGGCAAAGAGTGGGACGACTTCTACTTAGCCCACCCACTCCATGATAGCATTAAGACAACATTGCCACCGTGGACGATATCGCAGGTTTCTCGTCAATGGAGATGCGTGGCTATCTCCACTTCGCGCCTATGGTCTTCAATATCCCTTGATTTCCCTTCCTATACAGCGAATCACGCGGTATCTCTGTCCTTCAAACTCGGGCTGTGTCTTCAAAGGGCGCCAAAATGCGACCTTGCTCTCAGGATCCACAGTACAACCGACCTATCCGGCCATCCGATCTTTCCGATGCTGCTCATGAGCATGTCTCGATGGAAAAGACTGCGTATCGATGTACCTTGTGAGACATTGCATTCTCTTTCCGCGTACGCCGGGTTTCTGGTCTCTCTCACCACGTTGATTATCAAAGATACCCCAGGTGCCACTGAGCATCTCTCTCCCATCAGCACTTTCCATTTAGCTTCTTCCCTCAAAACTCTGGACGTAGACCCTCGAGTTTTAGTTCATCTTCATCTAACTTGGAAACAGTTGACCCACCTATCGAGCTGGGGAGCTCACAGTCGGCGGAGCCTAGAGATCTTGAAAAAGGTTCAAGGTGTTGACGCGTCCATCAAGCACCTTTCATTTAAGTTCAGCAACTCGAAGATACCTCCATTTCCACTTAACGAATCTGACCCGCCCGTCCTCCTGCCCAATGTTGTTTACATTGCAGCAGGAGAAACCGCTTCTGCATCTACATCCATCGCCCGACTTTTCATGAACATAAACACACCGAATCTTGATCAAATCTTTCTGGATTATGACCACAGTGGACCAGTCGAATTCCCGGCTATACCACTTGATAACCGGATCACGTATTTGACCCTATATTGTAATCTCGCTGCCCAAACGAGAACCACCAAACGCCTCATCGACTTTATATCTGCAGGTCAAAGTCTCGATACTTTGGTTCTGCATGCCAGGGGTATAGGGAAGGCGCTGATTTCGAAACTCGCTCGCGAAAGTAACCGCAAGAACATCCTTCCTTGCTTGACGATACTCGACTTACGTCAATCTACTTATGACGGAGTCGCTCATTCATTGATCGTTAATATGATTGCGTCTCGGAGGAAGCGGCAGAAGGAGGATGAGTCGCTATTGTGGCAACTGCACCTTGACTCTCCGCTCGTCCTAGACGACCCTCAAGTAGCCGCACAATGGAAGAATTTATGCGAAGAAGGATTGGATGTTGAATATGGGAGCTAGAAATGAAGTCCGAAAGATCTCAGAGCGTCAGTGTTCGTTGCGCGTTTCCTCTCCTCGTATACTGGCTCCTTCATGTTGATAACCTACTTTCGTTTACTGCGGTAGTTCGCATCTGATACCTATGAGTCAAATAAAATCCAGCTTCTTAGGCACTGAGGCCAAATAGTGTGGTTACAAGATAGGTATGAAACCCTTGCTTATCGGAGTAAGTATGCTCTGTTCTCACCGTTGCTCGCGCGGACAGATGTATCTCATAAAATCTGACATCGGAGCGCTAATTATGAAATGGAATAATGAAGGATGTCGGTCAACTAGGGTATCCACTCTATACCACTACCTCCGTGTATCGAATTCGATGTAGTCGATACAATCATCTTCCCAGTATCTGGATTTCCAGCCATCTTAACGGCGGATACGTTATAGCGGAAAACGCGATTGCGAGCTACGACGAACATTGTTAAAACAAGCGACATTCCAAACAAACAGTAGGCATGGAAATTACCTCGCATCCCACGTCCGCGTTGCCAGCCATTCTCCCTATCGGACCGGTATACCAAACCTAAAGATGGATTCATTTCCTGGAGAGAGGTGATATTATGCGCTTCTCACTTCAGACATCCCGATGATGGCCCCCAAAGCGCCAAAACATCCTGCGAGTATACCAGCAATTCCAACCGGCAATCTGCCGAGGCAGATGGGTCGGCGAGGTCCCAAGGCATAAACAATATCTAACTGACCTTCCGGGAGTGTCCCAGTCGTCTAGGTTATACCCACCAAGCGTTCCAGTTTTCCTCCTAAATATATAGTGCTCTTCAAGTACGCCGACAATAAAGAATGACGACCAGTATCCGAGGATGGCTAGAAAATTGGATAGAATTTCAGCGAAATGCTCTCGGCCTGCAACACCCGCCACGGTATATATAATCCACCCAACGACAGTCCAACATATGCGGGGTATTTTCGCAAACGGACGGCCAAGTGCCTGGATAGACAATCCAACGGAGTAAGTGTTCAGTATGTTATTAGTGCTAATAAAAATTGAGCGACGAGATTCAACGCGAGAAGTCTGATGACTTACATGACAGACAAGGCCAGAACCACAAGCAAAAACTTTCCGAAGCCCTTCCAAGGCATCAGGACCTGGCCGAGGAGACCACCCAGGCTTCCGCTTTCAAAAGACTCGGGATACCCGGACTTTGTGATGGTCATTAATGCCGCACCAAGAATCTCGGCGAAAGAAGTCGGAACGTAAATCCCGAAAAAAGTGAGGAGAAAAACTTTAGTCGCAGATGTGTTCACTGGAAGTCGGCAGTTATAATCAGCCGAAAGGGTCGCCCACTAGAAGCAGATAAGCTAAAGAAGTCACTTTTTTTCGAAGATAACACTGACACCTGCAGTATTGCCGAAAACAATTCCACCAAAGCTTATTACATTTGCGGTCAGAGTCCGTCCAGACTCCTCGGTGGATTTCTGTGCTTGAATATCGAAACCTGCATGGCCGCCCAAACCCCAGAGGAAAAAAATTATCACGAGGAGGGGCACCCATGCATATCTTTCGTAAGTGTGAACCATATCATATCCAATGAAACACGGGATAAGACTACAAATAGAAACAATGATAACGCCGACGATAAGAGGGAGAGAGCCCGTATTGACGGACGCGAGAGTTTGGCCCCCAAGAATGATACACGTAACCGCGTATCCGAGTCTAAGCGCGGAGGACATGAGTGCGAAGAACACGAGATGGGATAATGAATGGATTCTCACTGAGATAGAACGTTGAATATAGAATATATGATTCCGCCGAGGTATCCGGAACTGAAGCGCACAATTATCATCGTGCGAAGCCCAGTTTTTGGCCCCAAAGTTGCGACAAGAGAGGTCAGCACCGCTGACACAAGGCCAAAAACAACAATCGCCGCGACCGCATGTCTGCAATAAAGTTAGTAATTACATCAGGAATCTCTGATCCACGGAAAGACTCACGGAAATGTCAGGGAAAATATATCTTGCGCAAGAATTCCTATGGAGAGGCTTGAAAGGACAAGATTCACAGAGCTGAAGGCATGATGCATCAACCGTCAAGATCTCAGTGCAATCGGTGAAAAATTAGGCTTACGTCCAAAAGAGAAAGCTATCATCGCGCAGATCAGTATAAGCCAGTATGCTGGTAGAGAGACGGCTTACATGTTCCAAGTATGTGTTCCATCGCGTTCGTCTTCGAGGACTCGCTCCACTCCCCTCCCCTCGACACCACTCTCAAACAGTTTTGATAGCAGCGGGCCGAAGACTCCCGAGCGCTCGATAATAGCTCTGTCGACCCGGGCTCCTTCTGAGGAGACTACGACCGAAGAGAACCGCTTTTCTGCCAACATTGCCGAATTCTGAAATTCCTCGTGAACAGAGGACATCATCGGGCGTTGCGACTTGAAGTTGAAACGAAGGGGGATCGGTTATCGCAGCAGGTATCACAGACGATCAAAAAAAGAAGCCTCTATCGGTAACAGCATGGTCGGAAAATGGATAAACAATTTGCACAGATTTTACTCACGCGCAGGCCAGTGGTCCAGGACACGAAACGGCAGTCGACAGTGAGAGCACTAGAGCGTTCCTTCAAGAGCCAAGTAGTAGGTACCCAGCGGTACCTCTGCCGTGACATCGTACTATGGAGATATTGGAGAGCATGTCAATGCTTCGGGATCAATAGAGGGACTGCTAACTCCTGTTGACTAGTAAATGATGAAGAGTAACACTCATAGCTAGAAGTCGCCCGGCGAGATTGACGGTCGCTACCAACAAGTTGCCCACTACCTTGTGATTATAATGATAGCTTGACCAATGACCACAAATGACACGCAGGAGTCCGATAAAACAAAAAATTCGAACGTACTCTCAGCTCCAGGGAGCAATCCTGGCCCCTGAGCAGTGAGCACCCGAAATTCGAATAAGCAGGAAAACAAATGAAAATGGAAATTAATTGACCGAGACAGGGGTCGAACCTGCAATCTCCTGATTAGTTCTTCGTAGTCAGACGCGTTGCCATTACGCCACACGGCCGATATCTCAATTTCCCCATATATTTACTATGGCCACGTCGCTTACCGCTAATTAAACCTGAAGGGCGGTAGAGTCCTTTAGATCCACCGTACCACAACACCAACACCAACACCATCTCTCTGAGGTTGGCACCGTACCCATGAATACATTCTAGTAGCGTTCCGACTTTGTAGGAAATATCTATCTGTCTAGCCGAGTCTTCTTCAAGTTGGAGATATGAAGAACGATTATCTAGTGCTGCTTTCAGGAGCGTGTTGTGATTTGAACGTTGAACTCCCTCCTAACCTCAGGAGACGACAACTTATGGAACCTCGCGCCCAAAGTATCAATGAATTTGAGGATCGGCGATTTCATAGCCGAGCCATATATACTGTTCGGGCGGTTACTTATAATAATGCATAACGCTACAGAGTATTCTTGTCCGGTAGGCAAGACCGGGTCCGCTCCTTGGGACCCTGATCTGACAACGGCTTCTATTTCAACCGTTATTGCTTGCGTTCTTGACTACAAGGAGAAAGGGTCCGTCAACAACTGTATCGGTGCCTGTGAGTCTTACAAAGGCCGATTTTTAAGGATCCTAACATGCAACGATCAATGAATATGATTTAAACGTCAGCACTCTGTTAAGTACCAAAAGGATGGCTCAGTCGCTCTGGTAATTAAAAGAAACATGGGCGAATTATAAACGGCATGTTCAACGTGAAGTGCTACATGGAGATACTCTGGACTCGGAGAGAAAACTAATATAAACTAGAAACTACAGTCTGATAAGCAACGAAAACAATACATGTACGTAGTAGAACAGAGTAAAGAAATGCATAGCTGATAGCAAAGATCGCACAACCAGTAATAACAGAGAGGGTGTAATCGGAGAAATCTATCAATGAGTCTTCATTAGAGGCGGAAGAGACCGGTTTGTGAGAGAAGGGAGACCCATGCCCACAGACGTGCAGGCTTCAATCAGGTGCTTCCTTAGGTCATCGCACTGGTGTTGATGTTCTAGAGATCGGAAGAAGAGTAAATCTGGTGCCTAGTGGTAACAGGGTTACACCACCTACGTGGGCAAGGCCATATGGAATTGACCATGTCGAGAGGAATCATAATAGCTTTGGCTAATTCAAGAGCACCGTATAGGGACCTATCGTTATTCCAAAGGCGAAGGCACCTATAGAATTATCTGAATTAGAGCGATGTTGCTCATTGAACGAAAGATTTACAGGGCAAGTTGATTTGAAAACCAGGTTACTTGAAACGGGCGACGGGTCAGCTGATGTCCTTGAGTACCAGCCATACGTTGGATAGACATCGTCACGCGCTTGACAATCTGCTCTTGATAATAAACTAATAAGGATAAGCAAGGCAGACTCAAAGAACTAGGGGGAAGAAGCTTACTCCACTCATCGGCTTGCTTTCGAGTGAAAACGGGGCCTCCACTACTTAACCCGTGTAAGCTAAAGCAGAAGAAGCATGAGTCTCATAAAAGGAATAGAGCACGCACACATTCGAGGATGAAGGGACCAACCTACGCAACGCCTGTGTGATTGCCATGCGAGAACTAAAAGAGATGCGTCAGTGATCACATTCTGGAAAAGAAAAGGATAGTATCCACTTGTAGATATACTCCCGACACATGTACATGACAGCGGTATCGAGATTGCAGACATGCAAATCCAACGAATCCTGGATAGACTGAGTCTCATTCCAAGCCTCGTGCGCATACTCAGCCTTGTCTTCCTCTACGTATGGCTCACGACGTAGTTGATCACAGAAGCACCACAGAAGCATACTTCGGCAATACAGCGCCCAAACGCTCTCTTTCTGCGATTGCGAATCCGCTGATCGATAAGGGGGAGATGTGCGATCGACAGCTTCGCCCGGGAATAATAGTGCATACTGGATGGAGAAGTAATATCAGGGAAGTCTCCTTATAGGATCGCGGGAGAACACATACATTGGAAGGGCTGCTCAAAAAAAGTTTAGGGGGATCACGATCAAAAGCAGCACATTGCAGAGTGTAGTTCGCGATGAGACCGAGGGCACTCCAGCAAACCCTACGGCATTCTTCGTCACGAATTTCGTTAGTTGACCAAGAAGAGTCCCAGGGTAAGGGGTACGACCAAGTGTTGAAAGGATCTGGGGGATGGGAAGCATCGGTAGGTATGCACGAGCACTTACGCTCGTGCGGAGAGTGTGAGAAGGTATCGAGACCGGGTACGAGGACGACAGGGACGCCGCGCTGTGGGAAAAAAGATACTTCCGGGTCATTGGTATCGATGGACGTCAGCGAAAGACGGCGAACGATGTTATCCAAAAAGATAAGTGCGTTCTCGACGCGCGTCGGGTTGTATTCGGGATGAACGGAGGTCTCGAAGAGTGCCAGAATCTTTAAAAAAGTATTTTGAGCGGCAAATGGACACGGGTAATGAAAAAGACCTACAAGCGCAGCTTCAGCCAAGGCTGCATCAATCCATTCCGATTCCCATGCGGCCTCCAGAGCGCTCTGCGCCAAACTTCGGAGGTAGAGGGCACGAGTTCGGCCTTGAACTGCGTACTCCGTCTCGGAGGATTTCATCAGAGTAGACATGGCTAGGGCAGCTAGAACAAAGGCGGGTTGAATCCGTATACGTTCTTGTGCGTTGAGTAAGGTGTCCCTGAAGAACTTTACGTTGAGGAAGGACAGCCAGTAGCCCGCATCGGTGAACCTATACCCCGTGTCAAGCCTGAAATCATCAGGAACGTGGCTGTGCTTACAGATATGTCAGGTCATCAGCGACATCTGGTAGTCTGGAATGCAAGCTGTGACTAAGGCGGCAAAGGCTAGAGGGCCGAGGCTTACGGGTAAGTCTTTAGAAAATTATCCCACCACATCCGTTGGTCCGACTGAGTTGCAGGTGAAGTTGGGGAAGGAAATTTCTGGTGCTCTCGAGCGGGTGAATGCAGAACGTTCAAATCGAGTGGTCTTGGAAACGAAGGTTTGGAATACGAGGCAGGATCGTGCGGATAATATCGACGAGAATTGGGCGATTGCTCGGGCTGAGTATATCAAGTCAGCCGTCCATTAAGCGCAAATAAGGATAATGGTATCCACCTTGGTCAAAATTGACTGATCTCCTGGGCCACGAATGTCTATCGGGGAAGGCGTCTGCGTCGAGATACTCAGTGACTGGCCCTGCTGGCGTTCAGCAGACCTCACTGTCGGTGATTGTTTTAGAGGACCACCACCCATAACTTCTTCAATTGGAGAGATAACGTCTGGTCGATTCGGGGCTGCAGTACGTTTTCGTTTCGGAGGTGGAGGAACTGAGCCGTCTGCTGGTCTCTTTTTACAAGATCTTTGACGAGTCCCTGGACGCTTATCAGGTCCTCTACGTTTCGGGACTGCGTCATACTCGCAGACATTTGACCGCCGGACGCAGTTGTTGCAAACGGGTCTTGTAGAGTCGCATCGTATTTTGCGGCCCCGGCTAAAGGGAAAAGCAGATACAGAGGGTCAACATTGCGCAAAATGGTTAAATGAAAGTTGGGAGATGCAAGGGAAGGACGAACACTTACCACTGGCGACAAGCTATGACAACGGTAGAGATCTCCCTCCGAGGCTCCCGGACAGGATTAGTAGGGTTCGTTGTTGGAGAAACTTCTACACGTTCTGTTGGAGAAATCGGAGGGCGTCGGTGATCGTCATCGATGGAGACGGATGGAATGCCTCCGCTAACACGATGATACGTGGAGTCATGGGTCCCACTAGGCAACCGTCGTTCAGAAGAGCCTTGATATCTGTAGTCGGCAACAGAACCACTAAGGGGGGGCGGAAGTCGTGCAGGCGGAACGTGGTAATCGCCTCGAAGGTGTGTGCGCGGCGAGGAGGAGAACCCGCCATGAAATGCAAGGTCTTCAGATGTGGGGCTCGGCATTTCTAGTGCAGTGTCAATTAACGGAGGTTGTTGCACTAGCGTCGGCAAGTATTCAAATTGGGCGGCGTGAACTCCTTGCTGAATATGAAGTTGATCCTGCTGATACCGGACTTTATTTACGGAAGCAGATGAGAACAGGATTTACGAGGGAAGGAAAGAGTACGATGGCAACAACTTACAATTGTCACCGTTCGCAGGGGGATAGTGAGCTCCGAAAACTGGAGAATGGAGGCCTGACCCATCAGAGCTCGACTGGGGACCGTCTTCGTTGGCCATGCCTGGCTGAAAGGGAGAGTAGAGGTCGCCTGTCGAGCTCGCGACCATCGACGATGGGATGGAGATTGGAAAGGCTGAAATGGATTACGCACAGGGTGAAAGTGAAAGCCTGTAATGAGGCTCAAAGCCACGCGATTACACACCACAAGGGTAGCGTCAGTGCCCACGGTGGATAAGGAACGAAAAAAAATGAACTTCTCACTGGAAGATCAGAAGATCAATACATATGATTGTGCCATTAGATGGCTTGCCAAAGAGAAAAGAACATATCGGATTTCCAGTCTTTTGTATACTTCGAGTTGCAGGCCAGTGAGCGAGAAAAAAAAAAGAAATAGACCCCGGTAAGAGGATTGGTGGCTCCTCTGTGGCAGTCACTGCCAAGAAACACGACCTTCTCTTTGAAAGAGAAACCGGAAATATGTCGGCAAGGCATACTGGATTTGAGAAAACACGAGAGCCTGCCGTAATTTCGCGTCAAACCTTATCCTGAAAAGGAAGAGTCTACCATTCTAGGCCCCGCAAATATCTCCGGTAGCCGCCGGCCCGACACTTAATGGGCTCCACGTGAGTGGAACGCGAGCGGCGCCTATCAAGGAACGTAGTGACGGCAGCCAAGTTCTCCGTTCGTATGTTTTTGTATTTTGACTTTTACCTTCAATTTATTCAACGTCGGGTTTTAGTGTGGCGTATATGTTCTGCTTTTTTTTCTTTCTCCCCCTCTCACGGACAATGCTATACATACGTTGCCCATGCTCTGATGCAAACACTCTGATAGAAACTATCATCTGGCAACCGGAACTTTCACACCATAAA